GGAAGATGTGTGATGTATTTGTTAAGTTGTCAGAGTTGTCAGAGTTGTCATGTCTTGTGAAGCGGCCGTTGCCGTTGCCGTTGCCGTGCTGGCTCGGAAGCGCCTCCCAGCGCTCGGAGCCCAAGGACTGGAGCGGGCACGGGGAGCGCTGGGAGCGCGGGGAGCGCTGGGAGCGCGAGCGGTCAGGTAACGAGATCGAACGAGATCTAACGAGATCTAACGAGTGAACGTCGTGAATGTCTTGAACGTAGTGAGGGGCGTCACAAGATGTTATGTGAATTATGTGAATGTCATAGAATGTCATAGAATGTCATATCAGATGTCATAAGTTTTTTAGATAACATATTTAGATAAGATATCACATATATGACACGTATCACATGTCTTCGCGTTGCCACAACCTTTGTCTTGTCCTGCAATGGAAGATACAGACATAGGGCCCCATATGTAATTACATATATATGAGCTATAGCATGCTATGGCCTTATGATAGCATATGATATAAGCTATTGTACGCTCAAGATATTTTGAGAATTCGTGAGATACTTATGCAACACTTCTAGTCTGCCCCTAACCTTCCCAAAGCAGGGGATCGTGTCAGGCGGGATGAAAAGCCGCGGCTGGTCAGCTGCTGAAGGATTGTGTTTCAAATCGCGAAACTTTCTGCTCAGTCGGAACCACAATGAATTCAATAGCTGTCTCGGTTCGCATCGTGTCTTCGTTTATGACTGAGTTTAGAGGGCATTGAAACGATACTGTAGCTGGGCATTTGCAAGAAGTGCGCCTAGACTCTATGAAGGACCTGTGTTCTGTGTCAAAACTCCATACGACTTCTTGATCTACAGATAGGTTTTGATCCATCCGTATGCAGATTATACTTTGCTTAGTTATATGTTATCATCTGCGTAATGACTTTGTCTGCTTTCTATAATAAAAGTGTAAGGATTCATAGTTACATTGATACATCATATATCATACCAAACAGACTCGGACTCGGCACAGTGGACTTTCTCAGTTGAAAAATCTCAAAATATTTTGAACAAAATCAATTATTTCAACACAGCGTACATATATAATTTAATAACTCACATATATATAATATAATTTAATTTAATATAATATGATATTATATTTTATTTTATTATATTATAGTTTTGTATATTTTATATATTTTTCTACTATTATATATTATATATACTATTATATATTATATAATATTATATTTTATTGCTTTAATATATTATATTATATTTTATTATATGTTATTATAATATATAAATATATTGTATGTTATATATATTATACTATATATATATGTAGAATATAATTACATACATATATATAATATATAATAATATATACATATATATATATATATATATGTATGTATTAGATATATTATCCGACAATTCTATTTAAATTTCATTTCAATCCGTTTTTTTTTGGTTTGTTCAATTTTTCGCTTCTCCAAGGTCTGCTGGCAGATCCGCCTCTCGGCGGCGGCGGCGCCGGCGGTCACCGCGGCGGCGGTCCTCGCGGTCACCGCGACGCTCACCCGAGCGCTCCCGGTCGCGCAGGATGAAAACTAACAGAACTTCGCTAAAAAAACTACTCCAGAAAATGGATGTATACACATACACATATTGACATGTACAAACTGTTTTAAAGAAGTTTAGTACTTTGAAACTTTTTTTGTTTAAACATCTTTGAACATGCATGGTTTTGAATGTTTTTCAACTATTTTGACCAGGTCTGTGAAGGACGATTTGACTGGTGGAATCAGGCAACCCCTCGATGAACACAAACCAAACCGGCTGTCTTCAAGCTTCACTTGTTGTACAAGTGGTCTTTTGAATCTTTTGCTTGTTTGTACCCGTTCAGCACAAAGATTCAAACAGAGGGACGTCTGACTTTGTTTCCCCTCCGTTTCTCCTTTTGTATGGTGGATGCAGCGGATGCAGACATTTGTAGAAGTCGAACAGGAGCAATCCGAATGATCGCAGACCGTGGATCGAGAAAGAGAAGGTTGGTGTATCTGCGCTTGCAGCTCATCATGTTAGCTAATCATGGGAAAGTTGGCTCGGAAAACCCTTGCTTATCCGAAACCTAACACTTTAGATGCGGATTGCGGCTGGCGAGTCACAACCAGGTGAGATGCGCCTAACATTGGAGAGAGAGTTTTTGCATGGGGCTTGCATGCGCACATGTCGTGACCCAGATGGCTGCATACATTTGTACCATGTCCCATGCCATGTCCCATATATATATTATATAATTCATGTCATATTTAGATGTATTGACTTTGCGTGTTTTTGAGCATTTCAATGCTTGCATTCTTCCGTTTCTCGCTCTCATCCTGTCCTCCCGATTTTATTTTTGCACTTCGCAAAGCCATGGAGGATACTACACAGCTGCAGTTTCTTTGGTACTCCATGGTCGTTGAATTTAAAGAACTCAGTGGTCTAGCCATCCCTGGGCCTTTTGATCCCTTTCTATTCACCCGTGCGATGCTGTGATGCTGTGAGGGGGGAGTGAAGCTCTTCGTGGGCCGCTTGCCACGGGAAGTGAACAAGTGAGGGCCTGATCACCTGAAGCATATGTGTAACATTTTGTAGCAGTTTTGTAACAATACTGACATTGTATTGACATGGAAGCATATCATTGCCGTCATAGCAGTGTCATCACTTGCATCAGCTAGTTCAAAATTATTTAGATATGTTCACGTTAAATCATGCATTTTGGGATAAAACTTGGACCTTTGCCGGACGGTGACAATGACTGCATCGGGCTTGCACGTGAAATATTCATTTGGACCTCAATCCGCGCGTGTTCCAAGTGGCAAAGACCCAAGTGGTCACCCGGTCACCCTGCTGTTTTACCATGGCCCAAGCGAAATCTGAACAAAAACCGTAACCCGCGTCGGTGCAATCCGTTGCCAAAGGAGTTTTTCTTGTCTAGGTCGGGCTTCAGATTGATCTGGACAAGATTTATGTAACGACCCTTGCCAAACGTGCGACGTACATAAACACAGATACCTTGTTTATATTTTGGAAGTACCATTTCTTCAAATTTAGTGTGATCATTTTTGTTGGCAAACCATTTCCTGCATGTATTCACACTATTCTGCATTCGTAAATCACTGCGCTCAAGCTCCTGCCCAACACAAACACATGCATGTGCATGTCCACAAGGCGCATCCAAACAGCAGACTTGTAGGCTCAGGCTTCTTTCCGGGCAATGTGTACCTGGTGCCCTTCAAAGTTTTCCTAGGAAGCCAAATGTTTACAAGCAAATTTGGGTGCTGAGTGCTCTGTGATTGCTTTTGTCAAGCTTGACGCTCTCTAGTCCAACATTTTCTGCAAAAACATGGGAAGGACGTGAAGATTAAGTTGGATTTTCAAGACTGGAGCTCGGCCTCTGCGACATTTAAACCAAATTTAAGCAAAAATTAAGCTTTGTTTTGTGATGCTTTGTGGGCTGTGTGGCTGAAGCTTGTAGGATCTCAGCTCCACAAGATGCGCATGACAGAATTCTATGCGTATTGAACGAGACTGACAAACATATGTATTATACATTATATATATTTATATAATATATTGTATCAGTAGTACCGCACAAGGCGGTGGCGGAAGTTTCAGAATAGGAAACCTATGGGAGAGCTTGGTTGTTGTGAATCACGGATGGCAGAGCGAATCCACTGATGGACTGAAAGGTGTTTGGAGTTGTGTTTTTGGGAGTGGTTGCAATGGTTGCAGCGGTCACCTCACCACAACTGCTGGATGTGGTGTAGCGCAGTTGTAGTTGTAGTTGTACGTAGTTGTGGTGTAGTCTAGTGGAGTTGTAGTTGTAATGTAGTGTAATTAGTGTAGTGTGGTGTAGTGTAATTAGTGTAGTGTACTGTAGTGTTGTGTGCTGTAGTGTGATACAGTGTAGCGTCGTCTAGTGTAGTGTAGCGTAAAGTAGTGTAGTTGTAGCTGTAGCGTAGTGTAGTGTAATGTAGTGGCAGTTGTATTTGTGGTGTAATGTACTGTAATTAGTGTAATGTAGTGTTGTGTCATGTAGTGTAGTTGTAGTTGTATTTGTAGTTGTAGTTGCGGTTGTGTATTTGTAACCTTCACGTTTTGCTCATTTTTGTCAGGGTGCAGAATCCCTTGCACCTGTCACCCACGCTTCAACGTCCACAAGCAGCGCGAACATGTGGTGTTTTTAGCATTCTGACTTGGAAACGTGCTCCGCGCCACAACGGCGTGCACTTTTTCAACATCGCAACTTCCAGAAGTGTTCCGAACGTGAGGTGTTTTAGTTTTTTCACTTGCAAATGTGCATCGCGCCACAACAGCGCGCGATTTTTCATCTCTCATCACCTCCATCTTCTTTCTTCTGACTCTTTCTCTTCTCTGAGCTTCTCTCTTCTTCTCTTCTCTTCTCCAACTCTTCCCACCTCTGCTTTTCCATCTGTCCATATTGTCGGAAGTTTGACTTCTAAACTTCCTTCTGTTATTGTATATACACATAACATAATTTTAAATATGCACTTATAATTCCTATACCTAGAATGCGCATGAATTCATGATATTTATCGTGGCTCTGCTTCCTTCATCGTGCTTTCCTGGTTTTGCTGCTGTGTTCTACGATTTTGTTTTGTTGGTTTGTTGGTGCGCGTGGGTCTTGCTCTCTGCGTTTGTACGGGAAGCATGATAAACATGAGCGTGGGATCGCACAAGGATAATTACCATATGTTACAATGATGCAAGTCTACGAAAGCATCACATATAGAATGCTGAATAATGCTGAATACTGTACATCTTGTGTTTTTTGAGAAGTGACAAACCGCGTGTCCAAAGATTCTCATTTTATGACACTGTATGTGTCCTAAAGCAGAGACTGCCAAGGGCCCAGCTGGAAGAATGCTTCAACGAGTACGGAGAGGTTCTCGAAGTTTTCATCATAGCTTCACAGGCCACACTCGGGACATCTCGGGACCTATGAATGCTGAGAAGCAGATCATCAGGCGTCGTCAGGAGTGACATTATGTGACATTCCAGTCATTTCTATTTCATTTTTCATATTCGTTCTCCGTGCTTTCCGTTTTCATCCGCTTTCACATCAATGCAGGCAGCAAGTGGTGTAGGCTGTGCATTTGTGCGCATGGCTTCGCCGGGATTCCAAGGGTCATTGAGATTCATGAGGATCAAGGCTGAAGGGTTTCGATGGGTTTCGTGTTTTTGTTCTTGCCGTGTGCAAAAAGGATTGCCTTGTCTGCCCAGAAACATTTGACTTCACTTGACATCAGCTGACCCGTTCTGACCTTCAAAATGCTTTCAAACTATTTGTTAAGAGCTTGAGGGGAAACTGGCTAGCTGCCAGTAGGCATATGACCAAAGTCATTTTTTCTGTCTAGAGAGGCAACACCTACAGGGTAAAAACAAGAGCAGGCATAGTCATATATTCAAGTTCGACGAAAATACTATATTCTGAGAGTTCTTCGTTTCATCATTCTGAGACTCATCGGGTCAGACTAATTGTGACCAAACAGTTTGGTCAGGCTACTTCTGGAATCGTGTACGTGTACTAGTGGTTTCGCATGTCAACTATTTCCAGCATTGTGTTTTTGGCGGGTTGACGTGTTGCCTCTCATATTTCCAGGATCGATGCTGCTGAAGAGGCTATTAACGAGCTGCATGAGCAGCGGGTGGTGCTGGCACGTGACACTGATATCCGATGGTATCCGGCAATCGAACAGAATTCGCTCAGTATTCATTTAATCATTTTATTCAGTATACAGTATCATACAGTAGACTGTATACCTACGGTAGTATCCTATATTAGATCACCAGGTTGCATTCCAACAGCTTGCATCAGCTTGCCACTTTGTTGATCTTTGTTGCTTGACAACCAGAGAACACACAGGTGCACACAAACGCATTTCTTGTCATTTTTTGACACTGGACAAGCAAATGCATATAATTTATATAATGCATGCAAATGCCAGGTACTCATCCCGGAACAGGCAGACATGGGTCCCATGCAGGTCGGCTTCCAGTTTCAAAACGACAAGATTTGAAGAGTGGCGAAAGTGAGTTTCAAAATGATAAATAATAAATATTTTTCAAAACAATACAAACAAGAATAAAAGAAGAATATGACCAGTGACAGTGGAGTTCGTTGAGTAAATGCTGCCAATTCGATGCATTCGCTCCATCTTTGACTCAAAGTCATCTAATTTCACTTCGTTTTATTTCAGATTGCCACAGGTAGCCTTCGCCAAGGGTGAGGCCATCCGATTAGGCCGCCAATTTGCACGTTGGGTCTGGGCGAATTGCCGGCATTTCAGGCATCGAAAAAAAGAATCTAAGGGCTCTCTCCTTTTCTGTCTTGATCCAAATTGATCAAGTTAGCATGGATATGGCATCCATATAGGTACCGTGCTGCGATATTACACACTTCATTTCCATGGAGGTTTGCCACGTTTGCCGCTACGCAGCTCTGTTCTGCATGGTTTGGCTCGCTTTCACCTTGTTGTCTCTCACGTTGTAGCCTTGCACCGCGAGGTCTTGATGAGAAAGAAGAGATCCTGCCAAGCTTCAAGGAAGCACGGCAAAAGGCCCCTCACGGTTCAAACATTCTTACCCGCTGTATTCGCCATAGGTCATGCCATAGGTCTTGCAACGGAAAGAACTGAGTTTGGAATTGAATCATGTTGAATCAGGGCGGTAAAAGTCTCGCAGAGTGGCATTGTGGATTGATGTGGATTGCTTGCTCAATCGTGAGTGGGTCTGGCGCAGGTTGTGGAGCATCAGGAGAAGAGGCACTTCTTTGAAAAGATGCACGAAGCACAAAAGGAGAGGGAGAAAGACATGGCAAGACCTCGCAAAATGGCAAGTGATTTTGCATGAAGAAACCAAACTCCGACCACGTCATAGATCTTCATACTTTAAGAAAGCTTTAAGAAACCGTAGGCTCCCGTAGGCACCTCCAAAGAGAGTGTCATGTGGAGCACAGAGAATGCAGCGCACTGTGATTGGGAGCGCGCTTTGTTCACAATTCTGTTCCAGGATTCCCAACAGCCGGTGAACTGATGTTACATGCCAATGAAACAAACATGAACAGCAAAAAGAAGAAGAAACTAACAGACTAATTACAAATATTACAAATGATGAATGATTTGCAAATGACTGCAAGCTCTTCCATTATCTTCCAGCTTTCTCGACAGAAAACAGGATCTGAAATTGTTCAAAACTCCGGATGAACCCGGTATCAAGAGATATCTGACTTTGTTGGTGGACATTTAATTTGGGCATATCATGGCTCAGTGTGCAGGAGCAAGCCAAGGCGCAAAGAAGTGGGACGAGTCATGCCATGACGAGTCTTCATTTTCAGTCATGAGCAGTTGCCTTCAGTCTGGTGTTTTAGGCACATAAGCTACACCCCTATATTCGCGATGGTTTTTTGTTTGGTGAGATCCTAGTTCCAAAATGTGCCAAATATAAATCCTTGATGATTGCAGGCTGCGGATCGAGAAATTTTCAGTCATTTCATGAAAGGGAGTGGGCCAAGAATTGCAACCTGAACCAGGGAATAGCCTGTGCTTGATAGAAGGTTGAGTTTTGGTCCTAGACTGTTTGAGGAACTCATCCCTCGTTTCTTGAGATGCAATTTTCGCAACAAAGTCAAAGCTGGCATGTGACAAATTGTGACAATGCATGCCCCAGTTTGTGAGGCACGACATTCAAGATCTTAAAAGCATCAAACAGAGACATCCTAGACTCCTGCAGCCTTAACCTGCCAAGTCCAAAGGGCAGATAGGACAAAGGATACTGCACATATGTTGTAGCCACTTTCAGTGTGATGCATATAATATCATATAATTTCATACAATTAATTCTTACATTCTTATTTTGATATGATATATAGACATGATGCATTTCAGTTGAGTGCTTGCGTGCTGAACACGTCAGATTGTGGAGTACCAGCATGCGCTCATGGTCCAGCACCAGGCCATGCGGAAGCCAGAGAATGAGTGATACGGCGTGATACAGAACGTATTGATCAAGAGTTCACTTCCTTTTTGGAATGGAAACTGGAAGAGTCTGGAAGATGTGCATAGATTCGGCACAGATGTGAGGTGATTTGAACGTAGAGGTCTGGACGGTCTGGATGGTCTGGACTCGATTGTTTTGCGATGGTTTGAGTCGTTTGAGTGCTTCACACTGCTTCACTACAAGGCGATGCTACAACAGATTCAAGACAAGCCTCGAGAGGTGCACGAAGTGCATGATGGGTTTTGGACGGTGTTGCAGGTCGTTCTTTGACAACACACATAATGTATAGTATACATTGTATACATATATATATACTATATATATACTATATATATATAATTATATATATATATATATCGTTATCCTTAAAAGGTGCTTATACATATACGATTATAGTGCGTATAGGTTTTGTATGTATGTCATGATATATATATGTGATTGTATGTATATATATACACATACGTATATGTATCAGAACATGTCAAAATAAAAGATCACGAGTACATGTAGTACATATCCTATGCATCCTTTGTCTGTCAAGGGACATACATGATGAACTTGCAGTAGACACTTTCTTGGCATTAGATCTTGGAAGGGATCACTATTTTGCACATGTTGTAATAATGCCAACAACATTTAAAGCCAGAACAGGTAAACATAAGTTATATAAGGAAACAAGTTCCACCCGCAATCAATTGAGTCTATTGAGAACAGTAAATGTGTTTTCCCTCTCATTGGTATCAGTTAAGCTCTCACGTGCTCAGTTGCTGATCCACAGATTGAATGCAACAGGTCAACCAATCCGATATGATTGACTCGGAGAAAAAACAATCATAAAGCTGCACTGAGCATGTGGATGGAGCCAGTCCTCCCCAAAAACTCTTCGACTAAAGCTGTTTCAAGCAAGCCTCTAGATTCTTTGGATCTTGCAATGAATAGCGGTAGTGCTTTGAGCCTTTATAAAATATTGTACATACTTGATACTTGTATCGAGTGCAATGCATTTTCATGAACCAATCCCCACATCGTTTGCTGCTTTCATATCCCTGGTGTGGCAGAAGTTCAGACCATAGAAGTGTTGTCTCAACACGTTGGCAGACCATAAATTGTTGTCTCTGGTAGTGTGTATTCCCGTTGTGGTCTTTGTTGGGACATTGCTGAGAGCTCCAAAGAGCTCCAAAGAGCTCCAAATGCTTCAGGACTTAGTTGGCATAGTGAAAGATGGGCAGCGGAATGGCGGTCAGCCGTTCAAGTGCAGCCCCGAGCAACACCTTGTCGCATGTTTCTAAGACTTGAACTGAGTGAGATGCTTCAATAAAGTTTGTTAAATGATCAGATCTAAAAACGGGTGCAAAGGAAAAGAACATGGTGGGCTTCTTGAGAACAAGACAGAATCGGAAATGCCACAGACAGGAAGCAAAGCAAAGCAGGAGACTGATAACAGTTACACTTGAGAAGCTGGTGAATGTTGGTGAAACGCAGTGAAACGTATGAAGCAATCAGATATGGAAACGGATTTGTTTTTGCTTCTCACGGTCAAGGCAGCGGTGGTGGAGTTTTTGCGATGCCGGTTGGCTTTGATCCCAGGGTGCAGAGCGCATTCGTTGCAATGGTTTCAAATGTGTTGACGTTGCTGAGAATCAGGATATGAATCATTTTAGCCAGGAGTTGTCGCAAACTTGCAACAGCTTCCGTCCTTAAATTTTGTCATTCTTTGGACAGCATGGACAGCATGGATCGCATGGCCAGGGATATGGGGACAGGAATTTGCAGCGCAGTTTTGTTGAGGTCCGGCTGCCGGGACTACGATCCGAACCATCACTCCAAGGAGGCGTTGACGCATTTCGTCTCAGCTGCTTGGTGGATCTTGGTGGAAACCTGGAAGGATGAAAAAGGTCTAAATATGTCTAAATGCAACTGCATAGTCTAATAGTAGCGATTGTTTCAATTTGTTTTCTATTGTTTCATTGTCAATAGTCTTTTATCATGTGCACAAGGACACACGTCCTTGTTTGTGTGTGTCTGTGTCTGTGAGATAATGTACCGAAACTCGATTCTTTGGGTGAGCGCAACGAAATAGACAGAGATTATCAGAGATCATTCTCAAGACGTAAGGCACCGAAATGTTGCGGTCAAGGACAGATTGTTCCAGCGAAGAAGCAGTTTGATGGAATAATGTTGAAGAATCACATTGTGGTCAAGAACAGAAAGGGCGGGGGTCCCGGGTTGCAGGAACCAAGATATGCAAAGAGGGCATGCTAATATATGGCTAACGGCTCGCCACATGCCCGAGAGATGGTCTGAGCTAGATTTTTCCTTAGCCAAGTTTGGATATGTCTGGCTGAACTCGTAGTTGACCAACGGCTGTTTCAAGACTTGCCTCGAACATGAAATGACGAGCAGAGATACAGACATCACAGATTCAACGGCTCGACTCTCCGAAACAATAACTGTACCCTGCCTGGACCAATGTCTATCCGTAGACATACATAGATACTGATGGATAGATGGTTAGATCGATGGATAATGATGGATGGATCAATAGATCGACTTTTTGAGAAGGGTGCACTGGATCAGATACGATTCTGCAGAGGTTTGTGCACGTGGTGCACGTTCACATTGGTTCATAGAGCAACTAAAAGAAGTGGTTTGCTGATCTGGGCGAGGCGGTGCGAATCCGTTTTGATATTTGGTTTGGGTTCCCTTTCTTGCATTTGCATTGCATGTGGATCATTTGCTGCCAGTTGAATTTCAATGAATTTTATGCGGTTCTTAGAAGATCCTCACATGGATCTAAGCTCCAGAGCAACTTCACGCATCTTTTGCATCCTGCAGCGCTCTGATTTACAGGGCAAACAGGATTGATTTATGCGCTTAGTTGAAAGGTGAGTGCTAGGAAAACACTGGAAGACACTGGAAACCTCTCAAAGTTCATAATTTGTTCACAAGGCTCTCCTCAAAGTGACAAACCAAGTCCTGCAGGGTCACGCTTTCACTGTGACACCTTTGAGCTAAGGTTGCTTCCACTGAGTACGGCCCGCGTCTCGAAACTTTGGAATGCTACAATATATCGGGCAATGTCGATATCTCACGTCAAACTCTGGTGACTCTAGTAACAATTGCAAGAACGTATCAAGATTGTTCTGACAAACCGATACAAAATGCAGAATTCAGCATGCTGAGGTATCGAGAATTGGTTCAAGTCCCGCTTCTCTAAGTTGCCAGACTTGCCAGAGAAGCCCAAAGGAATGCCAGAGCCAGGCGAGTTTGACTGAACCCGCTTTGTCCATCTTGATCCATCTTTGTCCATTTCGTTTCAGACGGCTTTGCATATTTTTTTCCCTAGGACCACCTGCTCTCTTGCCGCCGCAGCAGACTCAGCCAGTTTCGAATGCAGGTGACAAATGCATTTCATCTTTTGCACCCTTTCAGATGAAATAGGAGACGCCATTCTGTAGAGACTGCTCAGCTCCCTGTGGCAGACCAGGTCAGCAATTCATAATTTTGCTGCAGACACCCACTCGAAATCAAAAAGACTCACTAACATTCACTAATACTGTGACCTCAGAGTTTGGGTATCCCGGATTACTTGCGGGACCGATCTCATTTTAGTCGCACTTGTCATTCCACTTCTTTGAGGCGTGTAGAACAAAAGACCCTCAGACCCTCTGTTTCGCAGTGCTCCAAATCAGACTCCTTGCCTTCGTCGGCACATTATTTTGCTATTTCACTGTACTTGCTTCGCAACTCATAACCAGGATTGTGCGTATGAGTCCTGCTTTCTCTTTGTAGCTGATCGTCATGATGGAATTTGAAAGCAGCCCATTGTAGCAAAAACCAAGCAGATTGCTCAGGCTAACTTGTTGAGAATAAATTATAATAAATTGATATAAAGATTTTATAAAGTTGAATAATACTATAACTTTATATTATGCTTTTATGCCTTACGGCGGTTGAGTTGCTTTGAATTTCCGTGCTCCTCAATCCCAGGCCTGGTGGATCGCCAGCACCAGGGCCGCCAGGCATGCTCCTTAGCGCTCGCACTGTGTCTAGGTTTGTCTAGGTCTGTGTATTTGTAGATCCTGTAAAGACCTTCACAAGGGTTTGAAGTCTAGAACAGTGAGGAAATATGACGAAATAATATGAAACGATGTTCTTTTTCTCTCCTATCTTCCTGGTAAGTTCCTGTGTTGCTTTCAGTTTCTTTAACATACGTTAACCATGTTTGCATTTTGAATATGTTTGAATATCATTTGATGTATACTAGTATACATACAAACATATATATATATACATATACATTATATATATATATACATATTATACTGTATTATATTATAATATATTACATCATATTTTATTAATTATGCTATATCATATTACAGAATGTTATACTATTTTCATATTACATTATGTTTTTTATCAGTTTATATTATATATTATATATCATATATTATATATTATATATAATATATTTTATATTATATATCATATATTATATATTTTATATATTATATTATATATTATGTATTATATATTATAAATTATATATAATGTATCATATATAATATATATTATATATTATTTACACTCTGTATTATATATTCTATGTTGTATATGTTATTTTTCTTTTTTTTGTTATATATTATGTTTTATATTTTTATATTATATATTATGGACTATATATTTTATATTATATATTATATATGTTAAAATATGTTGATATTATTCTATATGTATTTTATATTTCTATATATAATATATAATAAATATACTATATTTTATACTATATATTATATATTATCTATGATTGATTATATATTCAATCTTTATATTATATATGATATATTAAATTGTTCATATTATATAATATATATATATATATATTATATATTATATGATTTATTTTATATGAAATATTTATATTACATATGATATTGTAAATTGTTCTCAGTATATATTAAATTGTATTATATATTTGTATATTATATATTATATTTTATATATTATATTTTATATTTTATATTTATTTTGTTTTGTTTCCTTTTGCTCTCTGAGGTGTGCCTCCAGGACCCCCGCTGCCAATGCCAGGAGTGCCACCTGTGCCGCCTCCTCCAGGGATGCCCCCGCCTGGCGTGCCTGGTGTAGCGCCAGGGATGCCTCCGGGTGTACCCCCTGGAGTACCACCGATGCCAATGCCACTTGGGCACTCAGAACAAACATTATAACTACATACAACATCATATAACTATAGACAACTATAAATAACTATAGATGACTATAGATGACTATAGGTATAACTATAGATAGCTTAGATTATTCTTGATGAATCTTGATGCATCTAGCAGCCTAAAGAACTTGACTTGCGAAAATGCCATATTTCAACATCTGTTGTGATTTGTCTACAGCTTTATTTGATTTTTATGGGTCTTGTTTCTGCTTCTACTGTACTTTGCAGCAATGACATGTCCCAAACTTGCTCATTCTGTTTGCTTGAGGCCGGGCATGCCTCCATTTATGGGTCCGGGCATGCCACCGATGCCGCCAGGGTGCGCGGTTTGCTCCGTTTCTTTTTGCTTCAAAGCTGTCACTCTTTACAACGAGCACTTTCACTTCAGGCATGTGAATAATTTTCGGAGCTCCAGAGTGAAGCCTTATGAGTTCAATATAATAGTTTGTTCGAGTGTAACTACTTCACTACACTACTCTCCAGACATGGTTTACTGAAAGTTGAGGTTTCAACATGGTTCAACTGCCTGCCAGGATGCCATTCCCCCCTATGGGTCCTCCGCATATGGTTCCACCGCCTTTAAGCCTGGACCGCAGCACTGTCTATAAAACGCCTAGAAACACCAAAGAAATTCCCCAAGCTTCAGCTTCAGATGCTTCAGCAAGTGCAATCTGAGGCTGACCCTGTAGAGTGTCCATTCAATATGTGTTACATTTTGTTACGGGATTGGGATTGTTCAATGTTTTATATTGTTTTTGTCGTCTTTGCCTTTGTCAGAGCCCATTCCAAACCAGTGTCTTCTGAGGTAGTGAGATCCCTGCTGGAGATGGTGGGGGTGGCCGCCACTGCACCAAGCTGGGTTGGTTGTGCCGAGCATTGTGGCAGATGTGTTCGATGTTGTCTCCGTGCCGATCAATCCATCAAGGATAACGAATTGTGCGCAGTAGCAACCCACATCCGGGTTTTCTGGAAGATGCTGGCGCAAATGCTAGGCTGCTATACACTACAGGCTGAAAGTTATTTGAACTAAACATGGCTATCTTTGTACACCACAAAGACCTTGGGGATGCAAAAGCAAAACAGGCTGGATTTTGCAAATCTGAGGATGCAGAGACTGGTGGTTGTTCTGACAAGTTCTCATTCGTTCTTCTCCATTTGCAGAAGGTGATTCATGCACATAAAAACAGATAGATTGATCAATGGACAGATAGAGGTAGATAAATGTAGACAGGCGTCATCAATGTAGATAGTACTACATAGATGTAGATAGATGTAGATAGATGCATCAAGATCATTCAAGATCTAGGTAGACGTAGATAGATGTTGATATAGATAGATGCAGATAGACGCACAGCAGGTAGGTGTAGATAACCTTGTTCTATACCTTGAATCATTGCATATATGAAAGGTAAGAGCAGCTATCTGAGTTTTCCCCGCTTCAGCACACTTTCCTTGGCACAGGAGTAACTTTTTGCGATTGTGAAGGGGGGGTTCAATCCGGGCCTGAACATGAGCATTACTGCTACCAATTCAACAAGTTTTAAGAGGTTGTGGTATCCTTTTTGATAGTTTTTGGCACTGCATGGCTTTCATTTTGGGGGCGAGTTTTGTATTCAAAAAAACATAGCTCCTCCGCATCTTTATCCGTGCTTGCCACATCCTCGTCCACATCCTGCATCCTCATGATGTTGGTCATCATCCCAATCATTTTTGTCCACATTCACGCCCATCCCAATCGTCAGACCCGTCATCGTTGTCGTTGGTGGTCGAATTCTGGCGAGAACCAACCAAGAAAAGGTTAGCTCTGCACTTTCCCTTGGATCACCTATCGTAACATATCGTAACATATCGTAAGATGTCGTAAGATGTCGTAAGATGTCGTAACTGCATACCTTTCGTTCCTTTCGTTCCTTTCGTTCCTTTCGTTCCTTTCGTTCCTTTCGTTCCTTTCGTTCCTTTCGTTCCTTTCGTTCCTTTCGTTCCTTTCGTTCCTTCGTTCCCCCCATCCTCTCAACAGCTCCCAAATTCTACTCTGCACGGCTGAGGTCCTCGGCGGGCAGATGGTCTGAGACCTGTGACCGACGGTGTGACTTTTTGGACAGGCAAAAAAATGCAAAGGAAAGGATCAAGATACGATAGACAATATCAGATAGGTGCAACATGGATCAACATGGTGCAACTGCAACAACATGCAGAACAAGTTTGATTGAAACAATGTTACTGTAGCCCTTCCAACTTAGTAAGTTTCTTCAAGATCTAAGCTTAGGTTGGCAGCGTCGAGCATGATCAAACATGATCAAGGATTCACATTGGATTCATAACGATCAAAGACTTAGGGGGAAAGTTTGGCTCCACACGCGGCTCGTGAGTTGTGTGGTGCCATGTCGTGCCCCTGCCTTAAGGCCCAGCCATCGGTGCCAAGACACTTGCAAAGGCTTCAGCTCCGCAGCCGTCCTCTTCTCAGACAGTGGATCAGTGGACCAGAACGATCGCAACGATCAGAGCGTTGACTTAAGAAATGTTCAGAATGGCTGATGCATTCGATTCTCGCTCGCATCATTTTGCTGGGTGGGCTGAGGAAACTAAACTAAACCAAACTAGAGCAGTTCAGACAGCACAAAAGCTTTGCACTGAAGACTCTGAATTCTTCTGACTCTGACTCTTCTAGAACGTTCCTACTATGTTCTAGAACGTTCCTACTTGTAGAAGGTTCGAGCATTTTGCCTCACAGCCTGTGAAAGGGGTGTTCCCCCATCTGAGGTCCGAGGATTCATCGGAAGAGTCTGAGGCAATCTTTGTGACGTTCTTGCATGTTCTTGCACACAAAGCAAAATCAAAATCCATCAGAATCCCAAGAGATTACAAAACTTGCCAAGTTTTGTCAAGTTTTGTCAAGTTTCAGCTAGCTTCAGCATGCTTCAGCATATTTCATCCTACCGGAGCTGAAGCTGAGGACGAGGACATTGGCGCCATTAATGCTGACGACATCTGAAAATGCTCTGCAGAAAGTGCGTTTGTGCGGCACAGTGGTGCAATAGTGGTGCCATGTGCCCGGATGCCTTCGTCTTTGACTAAGCCAGTGCCTAAGCCAGTGCCTAAGCATGTAGAGCCACTTGCAGAGCTATGTCTTGCTGACAGAAGGCATGGTAGGCCTGCTACACGTTGCTACATGTCCATACACTTCCACACAGTGACAACTTGGGGATGACTTATCAACAGGTTTGCCATGGTTTGTCAGTTTGTCGAGCATGAATGAAAAATTGTAGGGCTCCAGACTTCTCACTTGAAGCTCAACTATTTGTGAGCCTAGTGACCTCTGCATCCTCTATGTGTTTTCATCTCTCCATCTATGTCATTCTATATCTCTATAACTCTATGAATCTTCATGAATCTCTATGAATCTCTATGAATCTCTATGAATCTCTATGACTGAATATGAATGAATTATGCAACACGATAGAAAAGGCGTTGAAGGAGTCGAAGGCCAAAGTCCCAGACTTCGCCGTCCAAATGGTAGCCACGGCTCAGACCGGCAATGGATGAGATTGTCAGAGCGTGTCGAAACATGTTGCAGTTGGACCAGTGGCACACCATGGCATCATTAGATATCGTTTGGTATCGTTTGGTATCGTTTGGTACCGTTTGCTCTTGTGATTTCTATTTGGGGAGGACATTTCTGAGAGGAAACAGGCTCTACAGATCTCTACAGGTACTACAGATTTTCAAAATGATTAAGACCACAATTACTTTGGGGAAAAATCGATGCCTTTAGAATCTTTCAATCATGTGATGTGGAGGGGCCATATGTAAAGGTTCATACCAAAGACAAGGAGTGCTGAAGTTCCAGGCGTTTTGCTTCATACCGCAGGTGATCGAAAGCTTTATCGGGAGTCTCATGGTGTGTGTGTGTGTGTGTGACGTAAGCTGGAATTCCGCAATCAGACGAATAGATATCAGCAGTATCAGACTGCATCAGCAGTTTGGTTTGTATCAGTTTGTGGCGGCCTAAATTGGCATGGTGTATGCACATATATATATATATATACAGTACATGTATTATGTATGTATATATATATATATGTATATACACATAAGTTTAAGTATCAATGCGCTTTATTCAAGTGTAATAAGATGGAATAGGTATGTTTTGCCTCTTGGGCCGCGCCCTTCATGGATGCAATGGATGCGCTTCATGGAGAGGGGCTGGAAAGGAATTAGCACCCCACTTAAAGGACATCCTTTAAATCGAACACATTTGAATACGGGATAGCAATCCTTGAGCTTCAAGAGTATTGAGGGAGATTTGTGCAATTTGTGCGCAGAATGGGCAGTGTCCGCAAAATAAAGGCATGCCTTTTAAAAGCCACCTTTGTCTTGTCTTTCAAAACGAATGCACATTTTTATTGGGACCGGGGAGGGAAGTCAGAGAAAAGATGAGAAAAGTACTTTCGGCCTGTGTTGTGAGCCGGAAAACAAGAAAGACAGGAATAGAATGGAATAGATCAAAGCAATCATGGTATCGATGGAGAATTCAACAACGAACAAAAGCGTTCAAAGAGCGACAAAACGAACGACCAAAGGGACAGATATTTGGCTTACTACTAGGACCATCTAGGAGCATGAGAATATATTATGAGAATCCAATGCGCCCAACGGAAAAGTCGTATTTTTCGGAAACAAATGACGACAACAACAGAAGCAAGACACCTTCAATTCAATGATCGATATATATATATACATGAAAGAAGGAAGGGGGGCAAGAGACATGAGTTGAAAGCAGTTAACATGATTCAACCTTGGTTACCATGCTGGGATCTTTAGCGAGATCTCATTCAGTGACTCAAAAGAAAAGTAGAAAACTTGTCCGCAACCACCGCCCTCGCACAGGCTTTTGTCAGGTTGTGAATTGAATGCGTTAGCATTCTGCAGCCCTTTCGGCCCAGGGTTTTCTTTACCCCAACTTTCCACTGGCTGCTCGGGCTATCATCTGCTTCAGAAAAAAAAATCGGAGTGAGCTGACTCGCAGCGCATCTAGTTCAAAAAGAGAGAGTTCTGCATTTGGCCTTGCAGCATTTAGGAAGCAGAATGCATCAATGCATCAAATTCTGGAAAGTTCTGGACTTAGTTTGACTAAGGGATGCAAAAGGCTCGTCACACGGTCTTGTTGCAGGACTATGCCAGAATGGGCATCGATACCCTGCTGATCCCAAACCCACAATGCCCCTGGCGTGTCCGACAGCCCAAGAGAACAAGGGAGGACACGTTTGCCCCTCTGTGTGTGTTTGGCAGGTAGGAAGGAAACCGAAGCAAGCGCGATGAGATTTTCCAATTCCTATGATATTCTTGACGTTTGCTTTGCAAATCTTTGCTTTGCTTTTAAGCTTCGTTGAGACACCACGGAACTAAGATTGAGAGAAGCGACACCACCGTTGATAGCAGACTCCAGTCGCGGCATTTCAGTGAAATTAATAAATAGTTGTTACTTCATGTTACTTCATCTTCTCAATATCTCTTCTCAGGATTCTCCAGTCTGGCTTGCAAGGTCAGCGATCTGAACAAAGAGTACAAGCTTTGCAGCTCATACCCAGCTTTCATTGTATTGCCACGACGAATGCCGGATCAGGTGCGCATGGAGAGAGAAAATATCAATATGACTTCAATATGACAATAATCCCTTCCTCCTAATACTAACCCCCCCCCCTGTTTTTGTTTCGACCTAATACCTACATAGGTACATGCATGAGTATTGAGCACATTTATATGCGCCCTTCAAGGCTCAAGAGGTATATAGAGTAACCCTGTAGACAAGCACTGACCGGCAACAGGCTGAGAGTAAAAGAGTGCTGTCATTGGGGAAGACGCCTTAGCTGATCTTGAAGTAGACGCTAGGGCCCCTCTTCAAGTGGTAGCGGAGCAGTGATCCCTCATTGAGGGTGAGCTCCAGGTAGAGCCCAAGAAATGGCAAGCCATGGCTATGATGATGATGACTTCGACATTGTCGATGCAAATGAATGGAACCAATATGACTCTTATGCAATGAGAAGAGCACCCCAGCATACACAGATTCATATGACGCAACAGATGACCACAAAGGTTGCTCCAGCCTATGATGGGCGAACCAGCTTCTTTGCTTTTGAGGATGCAATTGATGACTGGTGTGACATTACGGAGTTAGAACCAGAGAAACGTGGTCCAGCATTGCGCAACAGACTGGAAGGAGATGCTCAACAATACAAGAGGCTATTGGATAGAGAATTACTCAGGGATCCCTATGAAGGAGTGGCTTATTTCAAAAGATTTCTACGACCTCATTTCATCAAAGGTGCCCAAAACGTGTTCTTATACCGTTTCATGCAGTTCATGAAGTTCAACAGAGGAACCATGGATCTTCAGAAGTGGATGACTAGATTTCAACTCACTGGCAATAGACTTATTGAGTCTTGGATGGATTTACTTCCAGAAGTAACAGTGACTAGTCCTGAAGCAATTCTGTTTGTTCAACAACGACGTCAAGAACATGAACGAGATCAACAAGAGAGAGCTGAAGTAGCAGCAGCCTCAGGAACACCCCATGTAGCTGTTCCTTGGACAGATGAACTGGCACTAGCGGCATTCAGACAATTTCAGGAAAATCGTAGAGAAGCACAGCGACAAGCATTCCCACTGGGTGAAAATTTGCTAGCATTGATTTTTGTAAGTCTAGCTGACCTGAGTCAAGATCAGAGAAACACACTCACAAGTATCATGACACATCGTGGACGAACCCTCGATCGATACAGTATTCAAGAACTACGTGACCTGTTTCTGGAAATGTTTTGCACTACCAAAACAGCAGTTGACAATCCATTGATGCAACCCTCTGGCATGGCACAGAGAAGATCTTTCCTCGTACTGGATGAAGGTGAATTAGAAGGAACCGACGGCTATTGGGCCGAAGATGAAGAAGACGGCGCAGAAGGATTCCTGGATGCCTTAGAAGATGTTTTCTGGGTTTATGATGACGCCAACTTCACATGGTATCAGAGAAGGTTCCAAGGCAAATACATCAGACGAGGCAAAGGTAAAGGAAAGAGAAAAGGAAAAGGAAAAGGCAGAGGAGGACGAAGATTCTTCCGATCAAGAAAAGGAAAAGGCCGAGGAAAAGGAAGAAGGAAAGGCCGCTCTCACATGGTGAGTGAAGAAGGTTATGAAGATGAATGGCAAGAAGATGAATGGAATGAAAACTATGACGGCTATTGGGCCGATGATCAAACCTGGAATGAAGGCTATTGGGCCTATGATGATCTGTACTACATGGATGAGTATGGATATTTCCAGAGGAAAGGAAAAGGAAAAGGAAAAGGAAAGAAAGGCAAGAAAGGCAAGGATGATGATGGAAAAGGAGGAAAGCCAGGAGATGGAAAAGGCAAGTCGAACTATGTTCAACCTCAGACCACATCAGCTCCTGCCATACAGAATCAACCAACTCAACCAGCTCATTATTCTTCTGCAGCTTCAAGTTCTGGTCATGGTTTCTTTTCATTTGGAACAACTGAACCAGCACGTGTTGATGTTGCAGAGACAGAGCCAGCACGTGTTGATGTCTTGACATCCACGTATGCAGCACAAGATGAACAACGACGTACTCGTCGTGGAGGACAGAACCAACGTGATGCAAGAGCACATCAAAACAGGAGAGAGATGAAGAGATTCCCTGTTCTGGTTGGAGAAGTTGGTGCACTACGACAAGGTGTACAACAACGTCCAGCTGTAGTGCCCAGGCAAGTTGGTCTTCAAGAAGGTGAGGCTTCATGGAAGCCATTGGCAGAAGGCACATCATTGTTTTCACATGGATGCTCTACAGAGATAGAGAACCATCACAGCAGAGTGCTTTTTCATTTCATACTGTACAAACTGATCTGGCATGTGAGAATGGACTAGCTTTTCACACAGAGAATTCTGCACCACCAACTGTGTGTATTCTGGATCTTGGATGCACAAGAGCTATGGGCT